CTGCAGTAAATTTAGAATAGCCAGATAAGGACCAACTTTAGCATCTCAAAGGGGAAGAATTTAAGGTCTTTTCCCACACCAGAATGTCTGCATTTTCTGTTGCCCTCAGCAGAATGTTATCTTGCCTCAGGAATGCCGTGTGATTGCTTTTCACATAGCCAGGAAGTCATATTTCCATGTTCCTCAGGCAGGTTAACCTAGGGCCTGGGGACTGCAGGGTCACTCACCAACCTATATATATCATGGCTGGTCCCCAACACTTACTGAGTCCACCTGTCTGCTTGTCTGCTCCTTTAGCTGCCAAGGCTGCCTCTTCTCCACCACAGGTGCTGGGGACCAGGGCATCGCAGACCACCTGGGAGGATGGCATATAGAGGACCCACCATAAATGTCCCAGAGACCCCAAGAACAGAGCAGGGACACCCCCTCGCAAGTCTAACCAGTGTAGGAGAGTGACTCAAACACAGGCCAGGTACAAACATTTATCATACACTTCTTTGTTGGGTGATGTGTTAATCATTTTTCTGTTATTAGAACAAATACCTGAGATAATCAACTTTTAAAGAGAAAAGGCTTGTCTGCCAGGTTTAGAGGTTTCAATCCTTGACCCCTTGGCCCCATTGCTTGGGGCCTGTGGTAAGGCAGCACATCATGCTGAGAGCATAGGACAGAGCAAACCCGCCCTTCTCCTATTGCCAGGATGTGAAAGAGAAAGAGGAAGAGATCAGGGCCCCACAATCCCCTTCAAAGGCAAGCCCCTAATGACTCAAAGACCTCCCACTGTACCCCACCTCTTAAAGATTCCACCACCTCCCAGTAAGGCCAGGCTGGGAACCGGGCTTCTGACACATGGGTCTTAGGGGACACTCAGGATCCAAACCATAGCAGGTAACCAAGAGGAGAAAGGCTAACTACTCAAACTTCAGTCTCCAGCCTCCCAAGCCCCTTTGAAAGCTGTTCCTCTGGCGTCCCTCCCGCCAGCAGTGGCTTTCCGCCCATCCCTTACCCAGGAACCCCCAGGCTCACCGGGGTCCCTTGGCCCCACGTGGCCCACCTACCTGGGTGACAAGCAGATGCTGTTCTCAGAGGATGCTGTTGGCACCCGTGCCAGGCCTCAGGCCCCAATGTCTGACGAGACATCACTGAAGAGCGGGGCCGGAAAGGACCCCGCCTCCTTGGCTCCCGTCACCAGGCTGCCCTGAAGCTGCCGACCTTCTGCATCCAGGGCCAGTGTGAACCTGCGCTGCAGTGTCTACCTCAGCGTAGCCTCGGCCTTGAGGAAGGGGAGGCAGACGTTATCTTTGGCTCAGATTGAGCCACAATTTGGAAAGTGGAGTGGATGAGCCAGGTCCCGCTGAGATGGATAAAGTGGACTCCAGAACCTAGTGGAAGTGATCATCTTTGGGTGGCCTGTGCGCAGAACTGGACGGCTCCCAGGCCTGGCGCAGAGGCCAGGAAGGCATTGTGACCAAACTCAGCAAAGCCTGGGTACCAGGTCCCCTGCTTAAAACAGCGGAGCGTTATGAGAACAGGACAAAAGGACAAACACTGCCAACTCCATCGTATGAAATGTCCAGAATAAGGAAACCCACAGAGACAGAAAGCAAATGGCCAGAGAGTACAAGAAACAGAACGGGAGTGATTACCAGCGGGCATGAGGTTCTCTTTGGGCTGATGGAAGTGTCTTGGAGCTACATGAAGGCAGCGGCTCCAAACACTGTAGGGCCGGGGATTTGGCTCAGTGGTTCTGCTGCCTGCTTCACATGTGCAAGGTCCCGAGTTCAATCCCTGGTACTAAAAAAAACCAAAACAAACGACAAAAAAACATCATAGGGCTGGAGGTGTAGGTCAGTGGTAGAGCACTTGCCTAGAACGTATGAGTTCCTGGATTCTACCTTTGGCATCACGGAAACGACAAAAATCATTGTAAATGTACCAAATACCCCTGAATCGTACACTTTATTATAGATAGGAATAAAAGAAACGACAAAAACATCATAGGGCTGGAGGTGTAGGTCAGTGGTAGAGCACTTGCCTAGAACGTATGAGTTCCTGGATTCTACCTTTGGCATCACGGAAACGACAAAAATCATTGTAAATGTACCAAATACCCCTGAATCGTACACTTTATTATAGATAATTTTATGATAGAGGAATTCTGCCTTGATTTTATTTATTTTTATTTTTTGGTTCCAGGGAATTGAACTCAGGACCTTGCACTCGCCAGGCAGATGTGGTGCCACTGAGCTAAATCCTCGGCCCTCAGCCTTGATTTTACAATATTAAGGGCCAGGGATTTAGCTCAGTGGTTCCACCGACTGCCTCGCAAGCACAAGGACCCGAGTTTGATCCCCGGTACAAAAATAAATTAAATAAATAAAATATTAATAAAAAATTCATAATATATTGACACCAACAAAGAAAAGGCCTGAATGTTAGCAGCAGTGACATCATCGATAACTCTTACATTGTTTTTTGCTTATATACATTTCCGAAATTTTCCACAATGAACACAATTGCCTTCATACAGATGGTTCCATAAACAAAATTAAAAGATTTATGGAGGGGGCTGGGGATTTAGCTCAGTGGCTCTGCTGCCTGCCTTGTAAGTGCAAGGTCCCAAGTTCGATTTCCCAGTACCAAAAAAAATAAATAAATAAAGATTTATGGAGTATCTACTGTACTCTGGGCTCCAGACGAACAAAAATAATACTTTCTGAGCTTGGGGCTTCCCTTGACAATCTCAGGACACCTTCAATCCCTCAGGAGGCCAGGTAAGGTAAATAAGGCTTCACAGGTAAAGTCACTTAGACCATAGAGCAAGTCAGTGGTGAAGCCAGGATTTGAACTCAGCCTTGTATCTCCAAAGCCTTGCTCTGAACTACGCTTTTAAGCTCCAGTGGCTCCATCCTCCATTGTGCCTGGACCCAGGCCCAGCTGCCAGGAGTGTTCAGTGAGAACAAACAAGCACACATTGCAAGATCTACACATGTGAAGCAGTTTTTCTTACTGCCTTTACCGGACACTGGGCCTTCCAGAGCCAGTCTCGCTGTTCCAAGAACAGCCCGAGCTCATGCACACCTGTCGTCCTTTCTAAGCTATACGCTTGGCCTAGGTCTTCTTGCCACACTCCAGCCACCCTGCTCCCACCAGCCCGTAAGCCTCTTCCTCTAGGACGCCTGCCCTGCTTGCAGGCAAAGGACACAGTGAAAGGAGCTCCTCTGGGCTCTGAAGGCAGGGAGGGTCTGAGGAAGAAGGTGCCTGGGGTGTGGTTTGCCTGCAGGTAGAGCCCTACACTTAGAGCTCTAAACTAAACTCCTTGCTGATCATTTCAGAAATACAGATTTTTAAAAAGTTTACCAGGCATGGTGCATGCTCCAGGAATCCCAGCGACCCGGGAGGCTGAGGCAGGATGATTACAGATTCTAGCCTAGCATTAGCAACTTAGTAAGATTCTGTCTCAAGATAAAAAATAAAAAGGGGCCTTCATGGGAAGGCCCCAATTTCAACTGCCAGTACCACCTCTCTCTCTCTCTCTCTCTGCCTCTCTCTCTCTCTCACACACACACACACACACACACACACACAAATAAAGAGTCAGGCACGGTGATGCACAACTCTATTCCCAGCGTTCAAAAGGCTGAGCCAGGAGGATTGCTTCAAGTCTGAAGCCAGCCTGGACTACACAGTGAGCTCAAGGCCGGCCTGAACTACACAGTGAGATCCCGTCTCAAGAATAAATAAATTAATTAATTTAATTAAACAACTGATAGTCTGGGAACCTATCTCAGTGATAGAGCTCTTGCCTACCATGTGCAAAGCCCTGGGTTACATCCCTAGCACTGGAAAACAAAAATTAGCTTTTCACCTTAACTACAAAGTGACACGCAGGGCCAGGGATACAGCTCAGTAGCACCGCGCCTGCCTGGCAAGTGCAAGGTCCTGAGTTCGAGCCACAGTACTGTAAAAGAAAAGAAAAAAAGTGGTATGTGCTTGTGATTTTTTTAAAAAAAAAAAAAGTTCAAACAGGACAAAAACTCCTTAATTTCCACCTTGCAGGGACCTCCCTGGGCTAGGTGGCCACCCCTCTAGGGTAACTGAGGAAGCAGCCCGAGGCTGATGCTGGAGACTCCAGAACTGGGCGTACCAGGCCCAAATCTCCACTCGCTGACCACTGGCCTTGGACTTTTAAGTTTTTAATGTTTTCCTGTGCTAGGGATTGAACATACACTAAGCAAGCACACACTACCGCTGATCTATATTCCCAGCAACCTTGTGCCGGCGTATCGGCCTCTCTGAGCCACTATAAAGTGGGGAGCGTAACAGGGCCTCTCCACAGAGAGGGAGAGGCTCCCTTTGCAGTGGCTGGGCTGATTCAAGGCTGCAGTGCGTGCAGGTACAATGCTTGGCATAGGACTAGCGTAGAAGACCTGCTCAGTGGATGGTAGTTGTTGTTACTGATGCTTTGAGACTATTCCACCGCCACCTCTAGAAGAGGCTCGGGGCGCCCAAGCTCCATAACGCCTGTCCAACTGCATCAATCAATAATGCTCATAGGTACGGGAGCAGGAGCCGGCCAGGCCTTGTACTCAGCAGTCTCCCAGGTCTGCACAACAGTATGGGGCTCTGGTCTGCCTAGCGCTCACCTTCACATCCAAGGCCTGCCGGAGCTGACAGTAGCCAAGCCCATGGCAGGACTGCGGGTTCCCCAGGTACTGCACCACAGAGGCACTTCCTCTGTGACCTTCCCAAGCTGCTGGCAGCTGTAAATCTCCTGGCAGGGACTGTAGAGGCTCAGCCTGGTAGTTCAGGCAGGCTGACTCCCTCATCCTCCTTCTGGCTCTGAAGAATTTGGCTCCTCTCTGAGATCAGGACAGGACACACAGGACCAGACAAAGCAGCAAGCTTGTCCTTACCCCAAGGCCATCTGGTGGGACTGGGCTCACCGTTCATTTCACCTGGTTCCTTCCTTTCTGGACCTTGCTTTCCCATCTGAGAAACAAGGGGCTTAAGTCTAGATCTTTCTGAAGATTCTGATGAGAGTCACAGTCATTACCTCTAAAAATGCTTACACACACAGACACACACACACACACACACACACACACACACACCCCACGACCCCACAATCTTACCAGCCGCTTCCTCTACCAGATCTGTTATGAATCTCCCAGGTTACGAACTTTCACATTCCAAGGGCTACAGTTTTTTCATTTCTGCTTTCTGCTTATTTGAGAGTTTTTGGTGCCATGGATCCAATCCAGAGCCTTCTCTCTGCTAAGCATATACTCTCGCTCTGACTGAGCTATATCCCTAGACCCAAAGAGCTACTGTTATTTGGAAAAACACGTTGCAGAACAGGATGTATACTGCAATCTTTTAAAAACATAAGTATTCCCAAAAATTTTTTTAAATTTAAAAACCCAGGCATGGCAGTGCACACCTGTAACCCCAGCACTTGGGAGGCTGAGGCAGGAGGCCAGAGGATTCAAAACCAGCTCAGGGGCTGGGGATTTACCGCAGTGGTTCCACTGCCTGCCTTGCAAGTGCAAGGTCCTGAGTTTGATCCCTGGTGCCAAAACACAAAAACAAAAACAAAACCAGCTAGGGCTACATAGTCAGTTTAAGGTCAGCCTAAATCGCATAACAAGACTCTGTCTCAACAAAACAAAACAAAGCAAAACAAAATATAAGTACTAACATACACTTTTAAATGCAAAGAAAAATCTGAATGAATCTATAATAATTGACTTCAGAGCTTCTCTCTAGAGAGTGGGATCGCAAAGCCTTCTACAGTGTACCCCTAGACGTTATTTTTTTAATAGGTGTGTGTGTTGCTTTTATGAATTCTTTTCCCTTTCAAACACCATCCTATTAGGGCCCGGGACTTAGCTCAGCAGTGCCGATGCTGCCTCAAAAGGGCAAGGACCTGAATTCTATCCCAGGTACCAATAAATACGTAAATGAAAATAAACACCATCCTATAATGTTATCAACAACGATCTCAAATTCTGCAGCCCATTTATCCTTTGTTGAGTGAAGCGATTCGACCATGGACCCAAAATAGTAAGGAGGCTCAGGGCTCTGATCCATCCACAGGACTGGTCATATTTAGCCCTGTGTCTCCACGGATAGGGTAGTTACCTGTCTAGGCCTCAGTTTGTCTTCTTAGAGGGGATTAGGGGTAGTGCCTATACTGCAAAGGGCTTCTTACTTTAATAAGAAGGAAATAATAACAATATTTTGTTCCCTACCAGTATAGGGGATCAAACGCAGGACCTTGCACTTGCAAGGCAGGCACCACTAAGCTAAATCCCCAGCCCAATAATTTTTGTTATTTTAAAAGAACAGCCTTGACTATAACCTCAGCACTCAGGAGGCTGAGGCAGGCGGATCACTGTGAGTTTGAGACCAACCTGGGCTACATAGTGAGTTCAAAGCCATCCTGAACTCGATAGTGAGACCATCTCAAAAAACCTAAAAAAAAAAAGGCGGCTGGGGATGTAGCTCAGTGGCACTGCTCCTGCCTCGAAAGCACAAGGTCCTGAGTTCAATCCCTGCTACCCAAAACAAACAAACAAACCTAAAAAAAAAAGGACAGACATGAGTGAGGCAGGCTCAAGGACCTCTCCTGGTCCCCAGTGGAGGTGGTAGGTCTTGGAGCCACATACTTGCCCAAGCTAACTTCTTCCCAGATAGTGGGGCTCAGAGTGGACCCCTGGGAAGTCACCTTCAGGACCCGGAGCCCAGAGACAAAGGCAGCTCATGGGACCCGGCCTGGACTCTGGCGTTTG